CGGCGTGGTGGAAGGGGCAGGGTGCCCTGCCGGGAAGCGGCCCGGAGGGGCAGCATCTGCTTTGCACAGGACAGGGCCCTAAACGCAGCTGAGCGTTTTCTTCTCAGCCCAGTGCTCCGATTCCAGCGTTAACCCTCATCTCTTGGTTATTTATCACCCCGAAACGTTTATCCGTGTCCCTTACAACTCATTCTGCATGTATTGCTTCGTCACTGTGAGTGATGCTGTGAAAGCTAGACTTTTCCTGGCCAACTCCCGTAGGGTTTTTCAGATATATGGTACCTCTGGCAGGAGTAGTAGCTTCAACTGTTTAAATAGTTGGAGGAGAGCTAATAATAAAAGTAGTTTTAGGCTGTATGTCACTGGTAACGTGCTTTGTAACTCAGGAGGATGCTTACCTTGTGCTCATCTTCCCAGGCACGCTCTGTGTGAAGAATTCCGAGCGTGGCTTTCTGCTGTGACCCAGATCGAACTGGAGCCAACGATCGACCTATCCTGCGCTAAATACGAATATACCGGTCAGTCAGTAAGCAGTCCTTTCCCCAAAGCTTCCCTGGGTGTGCATAAAACTATATTTGAGGAGAAGACATAATTACAAAGCCCACCACCACCCTTTCCCAGGCCTAGGAGGTCCTAGCAGCTATCACCCAGCAGATCAGAGTCTCCAACAAGAAACAAACCAAGTCTAAATTATGGAAAAATGATTGTTGTAATCATGCTGCTGAGAGCTTTAGCTGGGCCCAGTTTTGTAGCAAGCCTCCAACCTTTCTGGAGACGTTCAGCCAAAGTTTGCTGTCGAACTTCCTGGACACAAAGGGATGATGTGTTCAGGTTGTAAATGCCACAGTTTAGTTTGTGAAGTGCTAAAATGTCATCATAGAGAGTCCAGAAACTGGTTACAACTGTAATAGCCTTTTAGTCATGTAAAATTAACTTTTGTTAATTCTGCTTTTTTAAAGTCTCTTTGCCTAACCAGTTGCTGGTCCAGCTTTTCTGTTCCTGCCCTACCCCCAGCCCAGCAACAAACCTCCTCAAAGGGCAGCTGTGCATTCAAGAATAAGAGTTTGACTAACTGATAAACTTAAGGATCTCTTCCTGCTGTGCCCAGTGACAGCAGCAGAGGAGTGGGTAAGGAGGGGCTTAACCGCCTCTACCTTCAGAGCGGGCTTATCCATCAGTCGTAATGAAATCTCACAAACGTTATTCTCTCTGGATTAGTGATGCAGACAAGCAAAGATGCAGTTCTTGGGAAGGGCATATTTCTTCCTGTTATGTCCTTGCAAGGGCAAAGCTAGGAAGCAGCCACTGAAATAAATCAGTGCACACGCTAGAAAGGCACTACTGTAGGAAAATGTGTGTAATTGCAGATGTCCTGCTGTGCCATGATGATGAGCTGGAAGGTCGGAGGATTGCCTTCATCCTGTACCTCGTGCCACCGTGGGAGAAGAGCGATGGAGGGACGCTGGACTTTTATAGTACAGATGGTGAGAGCTTGCTCCTCAGCCTCTGATAGCTGAAAAAGATGAAGCTTAGGTGCCTTTGCAGCAACTCTCCTCTCAGATGGTACAAGGAAGATTTTGCTCAGTCCAAGGGAGCTTATGTATTGGTAAAATTTGCACTTTAGAAAGAGATGGGCTGTAGCAGTCTTTCCAGACTATGGTAATGGGTGACAGCTGAGGAAAAGGAGAAGCTAATAAAGAGGGGAATCCTTTCTTTTATCCACTTTTTTTGCAGGGCACAGAGATGGAGGCAGGATAGAGGCAACGCCAGTAACTGTGCTAGGAAATTTTTTAAGCGATGGAGATAACTTCCAGCGACAGAAGTCCACCGGTTCCTCATCAATCTCTTGCTCTAAGTTCCCTCCTTTACAGCCAGGTGTCTGATCAGTCACAGTGTCATAAAGTCCGAGGGAAATGACGCTTGCTAGTGAGTTCCAAGTCATCTTAACCAAACCCTGTTCTCTTCCTCTTCAGAACACTTCCAGCCGCAGCAAATCGTCAAGTCATTAGTGCCTTCATGGAACACACTGGCTTTCTTTGAAGTGTCTCCAGTCTCCTTCCACCAGGCAAGGATCTGTATTCTGTTCCTTTTTAAATCCTCTCTGTTGCAGTGATTCATTTTGTACATTGTAACAGGCCTGATGGGGAGGGTAGAAGAGAAAGGGAGAAACGCAGGCAGTCAGAATGCTCGTATTAAATGCTCTATGTTAAAGGCTGATGACTTAAAGGAGAACTAGAACTGACAAAGCCAACCTTAAACTACAAAATTCTGGCAGTATAGCTTCATCATCTTAGGGGAAGAAATTCCCATCCCTACCTTCTGTCACTATGCTGGCAAACTACTGCTGTGGATTTGGCTGTGGTGACAGAAGAGGGCTTTTGTTGGACTAGCTCATGTTTTTCATGCGGATGTCATGACTTTACTAGTAGACAGAAATGCTCCCTAGTATGCTGCATTGCCAGTAGGGGACTATGTGGATATGGCCGTATCAGTTCTGTAACGCAGATGCAGTTACCCTACAGGTAGGTTACCCTACCCTACCTACCAAATACCCTACAGTAGATGCGCTGATATGGTTAAGTAGCATTTTGTGGCACGCAACAGGAAGATGGCTGGAAAAAGCATGAGTGTAATCTCCAGAACCGCTTCATGTGAACACCTGGCTGAAAGCTGAAACTCCTGCTTGCTTGAGAATGCCATGAACTGTAACAAACAGTGTCAAAGAGCAGGAGGTTGGAGAAGAGCACTGAGTGTAGTGATGTAGGTCAGGCATGTTTGCAGCTAGACTGCTTAGGTTTTACTTTTCTGTTATTTATGTCTTGTAATTAATTAACAGAAACAACTATTTGGTCACTGCCCTAGTTGTTTTCAGTTAGTGATTTACTCTTGTCATGTAAATCCACGTTCCACTTGGCCTTGTGACTGTCTCCTACTAACCTAAACTTAATCCCATGCATTAGCACCATTCAGAGTCTTGCGTACTGTCTCTGATACTGTTAACACAGAGATTAAAAACCTCAGCTGTCTTAACTGGGAGTGCTGTGAATCTAAAGCTTCAGGACCTGCACCTCACTGGTTATTCCCAGAGCAGCTGTTGAACCACCAAATCATTTCTTTGATCCTTTCATCAGTAAATCATAGAGCTTCCGAATTGCCATTAGAGAGCTGTGTGAGGGTCAGACTGATACAAAGCCTTCACAGCACATGCCAGCTTTAAATCCCTCTCAGCCATTTGGCAAAGAGTGTTTAGCTATTAATTCCTAGTAGATCTTCAGATTTTGGCCTTCATGCTGTATACTTCTTCAGCAGGTATCAAATAAAGCTTTGGGTATTATTTGGTGAGCAGAGCAGGTCGCTGGGCTTCCAGTAGCAAGCTTGATTTAAGAGCATTTTTCTGTTTTCCATTTCCCAAGAGATATAAGGTTTACTGTAGGCATTCCAAATTAGCTAGAAAAGCTTTAATTCATGCAAGGAGAGGGCTGCTACCGCTCTATAACTATCAATAAAAGCCAAAACCTTTTCCAGGACAGGCTGTGTTTCTTCCTTCTCTTCCAGCAGGCTGTCCTGAAAAACCAGTGCAAGGTCTTTATGTGCTGCTAGCAACCAGTCATAAGGGGGTGGCTCTCTCTTCATTACTCAGTACAGCACGCTGGAGCGTGAAATTGTTCGATTTAGCCCAACTTATAGCAGAGCACAGTTTGACGAAATCCAGATCTAGCAGTAGTAATCACTGTGTGAAAATCAGGGCTTTCCACAGACCAGGTAAAATGCCAGCATAAAGGGCTAGCTCTTAGTCTGTTAGATACGTAGACCTTTAACCCAGAGCCAAAGGTAGCAGACAAATGCTCTTCCTGCTGGCTTGAATTGCAGCATTTTTTTAAAAAGTAAAAGACACAATAAGGGCAGTACAGCCTGCTGCAGCCTATAGACAGTAACTGTGCCCCAGAGCTCCTCATGTGGTTTCTGAGTTCCAGGTTAACCTGCGACAGCTAGTTTTTGCCGACTGTGGTAGCTAGTTCAACAGAACAAACGGAAAAACCTAAAATGCTTTTACTTCTAATAAAATATTTCAGCCTTCGCTCTGGCTCTCAGGGAGAGGGGGATGGATTCTGTTGGGAGCTTTAAGTGAAAGCTTGGGCTAGGATTCTGGAAATCTACAATAGACCTGAGCAAATCAAACTCTGCTTTAACCTTTGCTCTCTGAACTAAGAATAGTCTGTCTACCTGCTTCTAGCCCTTGTCAGACCTTCTTTATGTGGTAGGCTCTCTGGAGGCAGGTCCAGCTCTTATTATGGGTCTGCATGGTGCCTGTTACAGCTGGTCCTTAAATGTTATCTAGTCTAAACAGTAACATGCTCCTCCACTTTGTTCCAGGTGTCAGAAGTTCTGTCTGAGGAAAAGTGCCGCTTGTCAGTGAGCGGCTGGTTTCATGGCCCATCAATAGACAGACCTCCACGCTACATTGAAGCCCCTTTGTCAAGGAGCCCACACATCCCTTATGACGTGAGTAGCAAGCCTAGGTCTGCTTACCTGCATTTCCATGCCTCTAGAATACTTATTTGGAACGCATTCACGCTCGGGGACGCTTTAATCTTAAACTTGTTCCATGCTCCTTTTTGTTTCCTGTCTACAAAATTGTAGCTACTTTTTTGTATGCTATAAATGATTTGGGGACCCAGAATGAAAGATACTGGCAAAATACAAACTCTTCTTAAGAGTAATCGATAGAGAGACCACTGAGGATTTTACCTTTCACTTTGTAGCACAAGACAGGCTAGCTATGAGAGGACTGTGTTTGTTCAGCTTTAAGAAGAGAAGGCTAAAAGTTGTTGTCTTCAGCTACCTAATGGGAGGGTGTAGTGAAGCTGGAGCCAGACTCTTCTTGGAGATGCACGGTGGTAGGACAAGAGGCAGTGGGGACAAGTTGCAACATGGGAAATTCCAGAGAGATTGTGGGATCTTCATCCTTCAAGATGGTCAAAACTCAACTCGACAAGGCCTCGAGCAACCCTGAGCCTGGATCAAGTTAGATCTGCTTGAAGCAGATGCTTCCAACCTAACTTATTCTATGAGTCTCTGTCCACTTGTGTAGTTGCAGTAGTGCAGAGAATGCAGCAAATACTCTCAGCACAATTAAAAAAGAAAGGAAAGGCGTGGGAGAGGGGAGAAATACAGGCCTTTGGCCAGTTGGGTGAGGGAGAAGCGGGGAATCCCTTTTACATTTGCAAATCCAGCATTTAAACCTTTCCAGCATGAAATCTTGTATGAGTGGATCAATCTAGTTTATCTGGACATGGACTCCCAAGCTCAAATCCAAGAGGAATTTGAGGAGCGATCAGAAATTCTCCTGAAGGATTTTCTTAAGGTGAGTGCAGTGGTTCAATCTAATGCAACCTACCAGAAGAGGTCACAGGGCTGGTGTGTGCCACATGTCATGCAGACTGGGAAGGGTCTTGCCTGTACAGCTGTCAGTTAAAACACCTACTAGTTTCACTTCCTGAAGGGATGGATCACCTGCTGGATGCCTGCCAACTGCTGCAGGTGCCCAGCAGACTGTACAAACCTGTGGCTTACCCTCTGCATAGGGACACATCATAAATCGCAAACTTTGCTTCAGCATTCTTATTTCTTATATGGAGCAAAGCAGAAGGATGGAAACACGTGTCATCCTTCCTGCTTCCTAGCACCGAGATGACCAGAATATCCTCCCCCGTCACTCAACCTCTTATGGCTTAGGAGCACACAGGGAAATCAGCACATATGTGAAACAAATGACCCATCGTGATTTTTCTTTACTTGAATGGCTTTTCTTAAGTCCGTTTTACCTCTTTACCCATACCTCGGTGAAGCAAACAGCATTCTCACCCAGCAGACAATAAGTAGCACTTCATAGCCAGTAGTCACTGGCATTAGAAAGACATGATGCCGAGCTTAGTGCCCTCAATTCAGCAGTCCTTAAGAGCCGCAAACAAGCTAGAGAAAAGAGCTGTGCCTTATCTGAGAATACAGGATGGCTGCTTCTAACACACCAGGGAAGACACAGGCGCTAGATGTTAAAGCTTCTGCCCTATCTTTCCCTCATAGAAAGAGAGATTCCAACTACTGTGTGAAGCTCTAGAGAAAAAGGACATCCAGTGGAGTAGCCGGGGACCGCCCAATAAGAGGTAGGGATGCAACAAGCTGCTGAATGACAGCACCTTGCTCCTGTTGATCAGGCCAAGCAGGAAGTGCCACGAGGCTGCACTGACGGGTTGTCCCTATGGACAGTCCTTGTTGGCTATCTGTTGGTGATTCTTCAGCTATCTTTCAGATTGTATGAGATAGCAGAGGAAGACAGTCTCTCTGACATCCTGAAGAGCTTCCTGCAATTTTTACGTTCCGAGGCCTTGTTTCTGTTGCTTTCCAACTTCACTGGCCTAAAGCTGCACTTCCTGGCTCCCTCTGATGAGGATGAAGATGCTGGGGAAGGAAGAGCTGTGGACGCTGCTGGACACAGCAGCCCCAAACCCAAGCAGGAAGAGACTGAACAACAGGCTGACAGCGATGCACCTCTACTAGACCAGCCTGAAAACATCCCTGAAGTGCAAGATAGTGAGACACAGAACGGTAGGTAGAGCAGTAGCAGTATTGAAAGGACTTGAGCACCATCCTGGCATTAAAGGATGTCAGCAGTAGAACTTCCAGTAACTTCTCCTGGGATTAGGATTTCACCTTGTACTGGCACCATTGGCATTCACAGGATGGCAGATCACTTACCCAAAATAAGTGACTAACGAATGACTAACTAACTAGCCTAATGACTAATAACGACTAATTTGAAGATACCCTATTGTAGCAGCATTTTGAACATACCTTGTCAACCTGAAATCTGATTTAAGGGCAGGACGGGGGCATGGGACTTCTGTAGAACTTTAGGCTTTTTTTTTTTTTTTTTAATCTAGTTACCCAATAATCTTTTGTTAATGGTTATGTGCTTTCTACATCCACATACTCTTGTTTCACATAAAAACAATTCTCATATGAAAGACCAAAGCAAGTAGAACAAAGTTAGCAGATCAGAAGTAAAGATAATTTCAGAATTAGCAAACTGATGCCTAAAACTAGGATTTAACCCTAAATAACCACTTATTTGTCAGCCATAACATATCGCTACTATGCAAGTTTAATTTTGGATTCACGTGTTGGTGTTGTTTAAGGCAGTGGCTTTAAAGTTTAAGGGCGGAATTCTTAAAAATGCTTATCTTGCACTCAGTCAGTTAAGTCAGCGGACACTGGAAGAAAAGGTAATCAAGAACGAAAATCCCCCCCTTAATGCTTACTTGCTACAAAGGCTTTGTTTTTCTGAGTTGCACTGCCAGTCATTTTGCCACTTCCATTTGCCACGTTCCCTCTATATCATTTTAACCAATTCTTTCACATTCTGGCTGTTCTTAATGTCTATGACTGACTAGTGTACGAGGGCATAATTTGGGGCTGCATAACTTGAAAACTGAGCTGTAGCCATAAGAAAAGAAAGGTTTCCCCAAAGTCTGATGTTCCTGCCTGGGACAGGACATGAAGAGTGAGTTCAGAGCCATATCCTCCTTCTCTGGAAGGATCTAGTAGTTTCAGTGTACTTCCAGAGCAGATAGGTTGCTGGCTTTCGAAGTTCAGAGGTCTACCATCAATCCTCATGAAGATCTGCTACCAACCTTGGGGGGAGGGAAGAAAAAAAAAAAGGAAAGAAAAAAACAACACACAAAAGGATGAACTGGCTTAATCCAAAGCACATCACAGCTCAAAGACCTCTCGAAGGGCAGATCTTGGCTCCCCTCATACCCATCATGCAAAGGGCATAGCTTAGAGTCACCTCTAGAAAATAAGTTAGCAAGAGATCTATGGTTTTACTTTTTCTTGCCTTTATACTTTGCTGGGTCTGGCAAACACAGCTCTCTGTGGTGTGAAGAGACAGTACAGGAACTTACCCCTACCTGCCCTGAGCTTAGCAGGGGTTAGCTGTAGTGCAGCTTCATTTTTTTCCCTGGCTGTTGAGATGTTTGTTCTCTTTCATAGGTTCAGGTGCCCCTGTCTGTGCGGGAGAGCTGAGGCGCTGGACCCACGGGCACTACACTCTAGTCCATGACACCCAAGCAACAGAATTTGCTCTGGACCTGCTCTTTTTCTGTGGCTGTGAAGGTATGTGGACAAAAGAGAGAGATATCAGACTCCCCTTGACAAGACTGGCTTAAAGGAAGGCTTTTTGAATTCTCCACAGTGCTACATGAGCCAAAGTTCCCCTGCTTTTTCCTATATAGGAAAGCTCTTTAGATTTTATCCTAGTCCTCGCTTTAGTCCTCACTTCTGCGTAAGTGCCACTTGTTTCAGTAGTCTATAACACGAAGATTTGGGATTCTGACAAATCAAAATCAGCATCAAAGTAGCATCTGTAGCTTTGATGCTGCTTCCTTATTAACCTTTCCTGCTTGAGCCAGGAGGTGGTGTGTTGCAGGTCCTCTGGGGGCAGAGAGAAGGTGCCAGTCTCCAAGACCTTTCCACTCCTCATGAAGTAATGGCTCTGGGCAGGGTGGAGCCATACAGGTGGCTTATGGGCCCAAGCAAGTGCTCCGTTTTGCCTCCTTTCTCATCAAAATTACCACTGCCTACAACTCACAAAGCCCAGGATTTTCAGAAGTGACTTTAGGCTTGTCTAGGCATTTTAGGCTGATTGCTAGCTATGCACAGCTGAAAACAAAAATCTAAACACAAGCACTTTGGTCATCACCGCTGGACCAGTGGAGACCAGAATGCATGGCTTAAACCACCTGGAACACGTCTGTAATTATACCCAAAGCCTTTTACACATCTATTAAGGCAAAGTTGCTCTCCATACGGGGAAAAGGAAGCCAAGCAGCCTTAAACAGCCTATTTGCAGTAAAAGGTAAATACAGTACATTTGGTTCAAATTGCTTCCGAATGGAAGGAAAAAATAGCCTGGCAGGAGGTAAACTGCAAATAGTCCTGTAGCCAGTAACTGCGGAGGGCTGGCCAGAAATACTGCATCTCCAGTAGGGCAATCTGGACAGTGCTGAACTTTCTAAGAACCTTTCTCTTCCATTTTAAGACTGGGATCCAGAATATGGTGGCTTTACATCCTACATTGCAAAAGGTGAAGATGAAGAGGTAAGGAACACAGTTCCTGGTTGCAAATTAGATAAAATTAATTGTTGGCTGGGGGTGGGGGGGGAGGAAGGGGCACAATCACATTTTGTTATCATGTGGACATAATCTTGAAGGTGCTCAGTATTGCACTGGAGCCTTCAGCCTACGCTGAAGCTTCCTGCCTGGATTGTAGCTTATGGACGTAGCTCTGGATAGAGCTTCACGGGGCTGGGGTTTATTGCAAAGCTTAAGACTCAGGCCCTGACAGTACCTAGTACAACCTGAACCTGGTGGTATTTTGAGTAGCCTCAAATAAGACAAAAGGCTGTAGCAAGCGTCTTGCTTTTCCAGAGAAATGCCTTTTGCTAGGGTCACGTGTAGGAGTAATAGTGAGGCTGCTGAACAGTAATACTGATGAAACGTCCAGAAGCCCTTCAAATGAACCTTGCTGTCTAATAAATCTTACAGGTTGAGGGGTATTAATATGAAAATGGTGACATCGCTCATTTTCTGATACCAGGCTTTTGTTCTGATTCGCTTTTGAAAGCCTGTTGCATCCATTTCCTCCTAGGAATGATATCAAAGCCATTTTTGTGAAAGTAATTTATTGCCTTAATTACTTTTGTGTCTTGTAGCTGTTGACTGTGAATCCAGAGAACAACTGCTTGGCCTTGGTTTATAGAGACAAAGAAACTATGAAGTTCGTGAAATACATCAATCATCGTAGCTTGGCACGTCTGAAAAAGCATCCGAACAGAACAGGATTTTGGGACTTTTCTTTTGTCTATTATGAGTGATGGTGCCGAGATGACCATCCTCACACAGCAAATAGTAGTGATGGCAGTACTGGGTTTTGGGTGGGTTCCTAGCCAAAAGTTCAACTGGAGCTCATCTAAGCAGATGAACTTGGCTGCTACTAACTCGATCATACCATATGTGAGCTGTACTCTACAGAGTGGGGTCCAAGTGACTTTTTTGTTAACTATACAAATAGAAATCCACTCACCTTCTGACCCCGTTGTAACGTGCATTCTTGACTGCTTCAACTTGAAGGGAGGGTCACTGCCATACAACTCTGACAGCTGCTGTATCAGTTTCCAGCTGCTGTTCTGGAAATGGTCGGATGAGTCTCTAATCTGTCAGGATGAAAATTATAATTGCGTGTAGCCCCAAGCTCATGACTGATTAAAAGAAGAGATGGCTCAATGCAATGCTTCAGACTGTGGTTGGGGCACGTTTTGTCACAAAAAGCCTGAGACGCGTTTTCTGGGGCTTGACAGTATTGACTTTTGCAGTGGCAGAAATAAAAGAGGTGCCATGGGAAATACAAAGTTTTTCCAGCTGTACAAGCTGTGGAGTTGGGAAGGAAGGAAGTGAGGCTATAAAGCTGCTTGCATTGACAAGGGCTTGGCACTGTAACAAGGAGGAGGACTTTGTTATGCTAAATGCTGTGCAGGCAGACCCAAATGCAGCCCCTCCTCCAAAAAATTTACAGGCTAAGTAGTAGATGAGAGACCTGCTCATGTCTCTCCTTGCAGGGGTATTTGGAGGGTCCTGTGCCTCAAATATGAAAGGGTTGTGACTCTGGTGTCAGACAAGAGGGGGTTGGGCTGGTAGTAAGAAGGTGTGGACTCACCTCTTTTTGGCTTGTCATCCAACACGCAGTAGGAGGGTTACTAACAACATAGCCTCTGTTTGCATTCCGGTTTTGTCCTGGGGTCTGCCGGGGACCGACATGTCTTCTGTCAGTAGGGGTAGGATGCTCAGATCTTTCCAAATAGCAGGTACCCAGCTCCTGCAGTAAACAGTATCTAGTAGGTAGCTAACACCACCAGAAAAGGTGGTGGCCTTGGAACAATAGCTTCTTCCCTGCACACGCTTTCAAGTACTGCTAGCATGCCTGGCTGACCCGTGGTCATTGCAAGTAGGGCTTTACCAAAAGTGTCGCCTCTGAGGTATCATCAGCCCGCTAAGTGGTGCTGTTGCAGAACGCGTGCCGATTGCACTCTCAAGGAGGGCATCTAACCGGACGGCAGAACACAGGTGCTCTAGGCTCATTCCTGGTGTACAGATCACTGCCTAAAACTCACTTTTTTGCATCTCACAGAATTAAAAGACAGGTGTATTTTCAGATCAACCAAGTCACATAAAATAGGTCATGGGCTCTTCTCAGTAGGCTGAGAAAAGTGTTTCATTTCTCCCCCCTCCCTCTTTTGGCCTGGGATAGTATTGCTTTAGTTTGGAGTCCGCTGCCACTCCAGTCCCAGACGTGTTCCCATTGCTCAAAGCTGGAGTGGTATAAGACTAACTAGCAACATGGTGTCCGTTGTAATGATCTCCAGCGAAGACCAGCAAGCTCAAAGCAGAGCTGGCTGCATGGGCACATGAATACTCGCCATCCCTCTCAGTAAAGAAACAGTAAGTACAGAGGGCTGACCTGCATAACTTGGTTCTGAGATGGATTAGGGAGCACTCACGCTATTGAATTTGTAGCAGCAACAACTTTCAGCCGTGATGCCAACATGCAAGGCTTGAAAAAAAGGAAACAGCAGAAACAAAAGTGTTGCAGTTGCTTCCAAAATGAATGGGTGTCCCAACCCCTAACTAAAGCTAGTACAAAGGGAGAGCGCAGCCTGGCCTGCAGGACTTTCTAGTTTCAGCATCAGGTGAGTGCCAGACTGCACGTTCAAGGTAACGTTGGTTATAGCTTTTTTCTCCTTCACTGGTGGGCAGGGAGAAGAGCTGGAAAACAGCTCTGAGATGCTACTGTGAGATCTATGAGATCTTGTCCATGTTCCGACGTGTTTCCCAAACTGGCTTCTCTGTGCACTGCAGAGACTTTCTTTCTCTGTTTTAATATTACTCTGCGACTGTCTTAAAGCTACTTAAAAAGACACAGGGATGGAACTAGAAACAAATCCTGAAGTGAGCACAGGACTCTGAATTGTTGATTTAGATTCATTTCCAAGTCACTCTGCTACTTTTGTGGGCAGCCACTGTACTTGGGGAAACAAGTTCTTATTCTGAGCTGCTTCAACAGAAAAAGACAATGGTAATGGTGTTTTCCAGGAAATAAAGCAGAGCTGTTTGGGCAATTTCAAACAAATGTTAGAGATGCCACAGCTGTTCAGGGTATAGTTAACCAGGCAAAGTTGGGAGGAAGTTGATTAACAAAAGGAAATTACATATTCTGCACTGCCAGCTTAAGAGCATGTCTGGTAGGTCTTGGAACAGCCTCCCAAAAGATGGGGAAGAAGCTCTGCTTCTTTAAACTAGCTGGTTTTTAATCATAAATAATACACTAGAGGGCATACCAGCCTCTACTTGAGCAAGCCAGTATCTGTCTGATCAGGCACACAAACACCCTTATGCCTCAGGTGACTGAGATGAAGTAAGTCTAGAAACCAAATCTGCAGTTACTATTCAAAGATCTAAGAGGAAAAAAAAAAAAAACCCACACACAACCTTTTTCTCCCACGCTTCCTGTTAGGTATAGAAAGCTCTACAGGTACACCAAGAAGAGACTGTTTGATGAAACTTCACGTGGCATTAGCTATTCAAGGGGAGGGGATCTTAATTTATATTGCCTGTGACAGGAACCCTCCCTGTAGATGCTACTCTTGGATACAAATCTACAGTTACAGTTAGGCTTAGCTGCTTATAAAGTACTCTGTGATCATTAAGAAAAGAAATATGAATATGAAATGCATACATACCCACAAAAAGGAAAAGCAGAATGATTTAGAAAAAAGAAAAAGGATCGAGAAAAGCAAGCAAGTGAACCATATGGAACGGAGCATGAGCAACCAAGGAAAGAAACTGTACCAGGCAGTATAGCCAAGTGCAGAAGTTAACTGGATCAACTAAATGAGGATGTGTTTCCCACTGGATTACTGCAGCACAGAAGCTAAGAAGTATTTGACACAGCATACCAACAGCTGAGTTATTCATGTTCTTGGCAGCACAACAAATTTGTCAGGATTTGGTGGTTTGAGTTTGCCAAGGAGCTGAAAACAGAAGCCATTCAATATGGAGCAAGATAAAACAGTTCAGCTGTAGACCAGACTGAAAGAAAGATGTCTGCATCCATGTGCACACAGCAAAGAAGTTATTTTCATCAGGTATTCAGTGAATTAAAGATTAATTAAGATCAGCAGCAATCTGTGGGACTCGGAGAAACAGGCTAAAATCAGATAAGCTGTTGTCAGTTCTAATTGCCCCTTAAAAAAAAACCAAACCAAAACAAAAAACCGAAGAAACTGGGACTGGAATTAGGACATTGAAAAAATCACTGTTGCATAGATCCTTCTTCAGAGGGCACAGATCCAGCAGAGTATTTCTACACTGGGTTTTCTCAGGCAGCGAAGTGACAGTATGTACAAGCTATGTGTATTTGAGCACATTGCCCTCAGGCGCTCCAAGGTTCCAGTGCAAGCTTAATTTTCAGGCAGGTAGCGAAACGCCCCAGAAGGCAGGATAATGGTGTAAATCTAACCCCCAGTGCAGGTACTAAGTTGTAGTACTATCTAAATAGTCTTTCCCACGTAGTTTTAGCAACTAACGTGCTGCTCTACTTGTGAGATTTTAGAGGTTTTTCTGCATTTCAGAGGTTATTCTGTATTTGACCCATGGCTTCACAACCTACTGCGAACAATTCCCCTCAAATACGTGAGATCAAGATTATTATGTGCTACTACTTGGCTACACCTTACCAATGGTGACTACTGGCCACCGATTTCCTGGTGCAGGTTCACCTGGGCACAGTGCTCACATCAACTCACTGCTGTGTGCCGGCCAAGGGCTGCCTTTTTTTTTTTTTTTTTTTAAATGGGCAAATGCAAACTCTGTTGCTTCGCTTCAGCCTATGGGATGTGGATTTTACGCTTGGCAAAGACAAAATTTGTTTCTATGGGAAAACAAATGACAAATTTGTTCTCAGGATCTTAACTAGGGACAATCAGCCACATCAGAGGTCTGGACTGTGACCGAAGAACTGACAGCACCGCAGAGACATAGGCTGCCAAAAGCAAAACAGACATGGGACTAGATGTGCTTGGCATGTAGCTCTGGAAATTGGGATGATGGGAAAGCTACCTTCCGATCAGAGCCGCTCTCTTATCATTGAGTGGACTATAAAACTACAACATTACGCAAGCATTAGGATTCTGAACACAGAAGAACAAAAGAAGAGGCTGGAACAGTGGGAACAAGTACAGTAGATGGCAGAAAGCCCAAGACTTATGCCAGGAGACTGTTCTATAATCAAGTGTTAAAGTTTGCTTGCTTAGAACAGCATGGGTGGCTCAACACCCTTTTTACCAAGCAGCCGGATTTGACTAACAACCAGGTTCTTAAAAGGATTCAAATAAGCTGTTGCTGCAGATTTGAAGCGACAGAGATCAGTGCATTTGCCAGCAATATTAAGGGGCTGAAGCAGTGGCAAGGGGCCATTTTGGAGATTAAAACACATTGCAAGAATTAAGTTACCCATTCAGCTGGTCACATGCTCACTGGCTTCTCTGTAATGAATGATGGGCTGCTGGCTTTCATTCAGTATTAGCAAAGAAGAGAGCAGCTGGATACTGGAGGCTAACACACCTGACAGCCCTTACAAGGTATCTAAGAATCTATTTCCACAGAAGTGGAGAACAGCCTCCTCCTAACCTGTGTTGCAAACATTGATTTATAGAGTGGTTGCGGAATGATGACTGCAGAATGGAGCAGGAGGTTGCAACACAGGCACCCAACCTCCCTCCTGTTAAGAACATTTTTAGCTTCTAGCAGAAATTTGCTTTGGCAAAGGCTCTAGAATATCTACAGATCTAAGTAAGCGACAGTCTTACTGCAATATTTTAATCGAATTCTAAGAGATCCCACAATTAATAAACGCTTCTATGCCAGGGGCCAGGAGATTTTTCAATACATCCTTCTTTGATCCCTTTAAGTACTGCTAGCACTTTATGAGTATGCATGAAGCTTGGGTGTGTAGCTTGTTTTCCTCATTCCTGAAATGCGCCCTTACCTTACCCACCTCAGTATCTGCAGTTTTACCTAGCAGCAGTAACAGAACAAGTAACTGGAAGCAAAACATCCTGCAATCAGGGTGTGGGGACAGATGTTATGGATTATGAAACCAACAACTTCCTGCCTGCACAGATCCTGGAACTGGTCAGTTTTCCAAGATCTTCTGCCTTAAAAGGCCAGGAAAGAGATGTTATCTCTTTGGTGCTTCTGGTGCAGCAAATTGCAACTTACCTAGAAAGGAGGATGTCCCTACAAGGAAACCAGGAATTCACTGACGCAGAGTACTTGTACGTGGGTGCACAAGCCAGTAGCTGACAACAAAAGATGGAAGCAATTCCGAAAATTCAGTGCTAGCAGGCCTGAGGTCCGATGTTTCAGTGTAAGGTCTCACATTCACCTCCAGGTTCTTAAGCCACAGTGTAAATACAGTAAAACTCCCCCCTTAGCGCGTACAGAGATCAAACTGACTGCGCAGCCAAACTGGAAATGCTCCGTTTTTCATCAGATTAATTTAACCATACACGTCTTCCCAACTAAAGAAGAACAAAAGCAATCTGGCCATTCTATGCTTTAATGGAAAAGACTAATGCTTTAACTACAAAATGCATTATATTACATAAATAAGTTACTGTAAGAAAAATAACTGCTCTAAGGTTATAACCTCAGTCTCACATAAATATCATATCTGCACTTAAACTCTGATGCTTTTTTCAAGAAGCTTCCTGTCCTTTGGCCTGTGTAATGATATTTCTTGCCTGATAGCTTTACTAAAATGCTACCTTGCCAATTACTTCACCCTACAATGGAGTCGCAGATTGAATTAACTGCTTGTCATTATTGGTCCATTACATGTTGCTACACATCCCATTCCTCTTGTTGTCTTCTCCACCACCCAAAGATTACATGCTGGAAAAGTACTGCAATGCCTTAGTTGTTATGGGTGCTCGTAGGCGCTCCCTACTGCATGAAAGCACTGCTTCCATGCAATTGCTAAGTCTTCTGGTCATTTTAAGAAGAGGCTGTCCCCACACGCATTATCCTGAACAGCATGTTAAAGTTGTTGCTTCTTATTGCATCCCGACAAGCAGTGATGACTTGTGTTTTAGGTTTGCCAACTGTAAAGAGAAACGAAAAAAAAAAAAAAAAGCACGTAAGTTACTTAAGTTACTGAATAAAAACCTGCTAAAAATATTTATTAGATCCAGTCTCAAAATTTAGGGTTTTATTTCAAATATTTTTTTAAAATGTGTGAAGTACTGCCTTGCCATTTTCTTAGTAAATAAATATTCTTTTTTTTTTTTTTTAAAGAAGGGTTTTATGTAGCTTTATTACAGGAGAACTTAAAGAACTTGTTAGAGGGCTAATCCTATAAATCCACAAAAAACACCTCCTTCCCCAAAGATCTTCAAAACAAAAACAAAAAAACCCAAATGGACAGGTGACAGAAAGGAAAACTAGCTAGCACTGCTCCAAAGAAGGCAACAAAACAACAGCTGATTCTCTGTGAAGTTAATAATCTACAGTACTACTACTAATATAAACAGCCTCACTTAAGTTGGTAGCATTTTTTTTTTTAACTAAGTTAGAAATTAACTGAAACATTACTTTAAAAATGTTTTTAAAACTGTGTTCTACAAAACCAGCACTTTTTATGCCACCTGGAAAGCTGAAGACTACTTCAAACTGTTTTTTCTAACATTGTGATCCCAGATTATACTAGACACTCACAGCTCACTGTCACAGGCAATTGGCTATGGCTGAAAAAGGAAAGATTATTTCTACTTTAGCTCCAGGCCAAGACTCAGCTAAACTCAGGTGGCGTTCGAGACATGTCTTATTTGCCTCAATAGGGTCTTGCACTCTCACTTTTCTCAAACACACCCACTTACCACGTAACCGCCCCGCTCTCTGGATTGCCTGATTCACAGCTTTCAGGTTATTCAACAGCTCAGTGTGATTGTTGCAACGAATTTTGTACCGATTAATTAAATCTCTGTTAAGATCATACAGCTCGATGTACCGTTTCTTCATGTTTTTCCTGGGGGAACAACCACTCCAGTTATTTGAAATTCTGGGGACAAGGAATTCGTGGTTTGTCAGTATAAAGGCATAACAATACAGGCTTGCAACGGCTACCGTGGTTTGGGTTTACAAGACAACAGACCTGTCTAGACATGTTGGTTATAATCATTATTTACTTAAAAATGGTTACTTTATCCAGCAACCCAAAGAGGAGATGTCACTTTCCCCAGAAAAATTAACACTGCTACTCTGCAGTAGCTCAGACCTCTTTACTGTTGCCCTTTGACACTCAGAGTAGGACATGAGCAGGAGAGCACAGCCAGTTGGAGTGAAAAGACTGACACCCAAAATTTCTTTCTTGGTGTTCTCAAAGGTTCCCCCACTACAACTAGCTTTTACTTCCTTCTTCCCTCAACGTAACTTTTCTGGATGAGCCAAAACACCATCTCTGCCTGGCAGGATTCACCCTGCCTGCTGCACGCTAACCTCTTCCTCCCTCCCTTTTGCCTTCTCCATCCTGGTTTTCCAAAAGATCAGGACAAAGCTCTTGATGGTGGGACCAGCTAAGACAATGTTTCTACATAAAAAGGATTCAGTTCCAACTAAGCAACCCCTACAGTGAACACCCACATCACACAAATGTTTTTGTGCTTTTTTTCTGCCTGAAAAGCAACGACTGGCTGTTCTAAACTCAAAGCACGTGAGCTAAGCAGCAACTCCTTACATGTCTCCCAGGAGTCGTGCATCTTCAGCTTGAATTAGCATGCTGCGGATGAGGTTGGAGTGTTCAGCCATGTCGGCAGTGAGCCTCTGATTCACTGCATGGCGTTCATCCACCTGTCCGAGACAAACATTCGTGAGAAAGGGCCCCCAGGCACTCTGGGAGGAGTACAGACTAAGCTAAACCTCAGCCTGTAGGAACCAACATCCCAGCTTCACCTACCAGGATCCTTAGGACCATCCTCCTTGCCCCTACACCTTACCGTCAGAGAAGCACCTTGTCCCCCAGAAGGGGGTGATCAGGCTGAGATGTGCACCTTACCGCCCCCCGCCCCCATCCACTTCCACAGCTCAGTCTCCCAGGCAGCATATTTTGTTATTTACATTATTCTAAACAAACAGCAACTGCTGGGGACCGAGACCCTGGTTCAGGATTACAAAGAACAAATAGAAAGCTGCTGGTGCCTCTCTGCCTTTTGCACAGAACACACAGCAAACCATGGCAAAACATGAGGGAGCTAGAGCAAGTTTAGAGATGCTCAGCTTTTTCTCTTCTACAGCTGTCTTCAGTGATTGCTTAAGCTGTCATTTTCAAAATGCCCAATGCCTCCTCACCTTGACCAACACTTTCCGCAGCTCCTCAAAGTAGGCAGGGAAATCTGCTTCCACCTGTAAATCTTCAATTGCCAGAAAGGAGGCCATTGACTGGATAATGTCACCAGCTAAATCAATATCATCCGTGCTGATAGAAATCTATCAGAAAGGACAAGAAAGCCCTTCAGCCC